TGTTGTTAAATGCTGTTGGGTTGGTCCGAACTCATAGTGACCCTATATAGGGTTTCTGAGGAGCAGCTGGTGGGTTTGAATAGAACAGGGATTATACAAGGTCACAGACCTATCATATAGATATAGCAGAGCTACCGTTCAGATCCAACTATATGACTGCAGAGACTGTGCTTGTAACCACTCATTTATCCTGCTTCTCAGACAGTGAGAAAAGGGTAAATTTTAGAATTCAAAGAACTGTATGCAAACCCCATTTTGTCACTTCCTCTAGCATGACAGCATGAATCGCTGAGATTGCAGCAGCAATCAAGTGCTTATCCTACAGAACCACACCAGGACCTCTGAATTTCTGCTAGCTGATAAAAATTGGATAATGAATGGATATGAGTTCAAATGACTTATGGTAACAGGTTTGACTTTAGGATGTTAGAACAGCGGAAGCCTATGATGTCTAGGGTGACATGAGTGGTAGAGCAAATCTTAACAAGAAAAAGAAGAGCAGCTATTCCAGAGTAGTAGTTATTGTTAAGTGCTGTCAAGTTGGTTCCGACTCATAGCGACCCTGAATAGGGTTTCCAAGGAGTGGCTGGTGAGTTTGAATCACTGATCCTGCAATCCAAACCACCATTGAGTTCCATTGTTTATCCTACAGCCCCACACCAGGGCTCGGTGCTAGAATAGGTATGAACATAACAATAAGTACTACTGAAGTAAATGTTACTGCCTTTTGTTGAGTATTGTTGTGTCAAATATTGTACCCTAAGCACTTCATTCTTTACCTAAAATCCGCAAAGCAGTTCAGAAAAAGGAACAGTTATTATATTCTCTGCAGAAGTGGAAAATTGGAAAACACCTAAGTGACCATCACAGTAAATATTATGGTGACACAATGGTTAAAGCTTCAGCTATTAACAGATGGACAGGCAGTTGAAATCCACCAGGGACTCTGAGGGAGAAAGACCTGGTGATTTGCTTCCATAAATATAATGGCCAAGAAAACCTTATGAGACAGTTGACTCTATCAAATGAGTAAAAACTAGATTCTCAATATGAGTCCAAACGGAGGCCACAGTACCTAGCAACATTGAATGCATGCCTCACAGCCATTTTTATCCAAGTATATCTATACTGCTAAAGGAGCTCTGGTAGCGTAGTGGCTACGAATCGGGCTGCGAACCTTAAGGTCAGCGGTTCGAAACTACCAGCTGCTCCGCGGGAGAAAGATGAGGCTTTCTACTCCCGTAAAGATTTACACCCTCGGAAATCCTGTACAGGATCGCTATGGGTCGGAACTGACTCGACGGCACTTAACAACAGGGGAGCTCAGGAGCTCTGTAGGTCTGTGGTTTTTAGAGAAAATGCCTTTTAAAAATAGAAAGATAAACAATATTTTAAGAAAATGGTTTTTATAAAAAGAGAAAAGATGGTTCTGTTGGTGGTGAAAAGAAGAGAGTTGTTGGGGTGGGATTGCTTTGCTGAATTCATTCTCTAGGTGTATGGAGTGAGGGCTCACACCTAGATCAGAGTGAAAAGCCCAGACTCCTTATGGTATACAGTTTGTGATTTTTAACTTTCCAAAATGCTGTTTTTACAATGAAAGAATTCTTTAGCAATATAATAATCCCCTAACCAGAAAACCAAAAGGGAAGAACACGGTCAGTATTTCTCAAGCTGGGGGAAAGGAAGAAAAAATTCAAGCCTCGACTTTCGTTACTGAAAGATTCACTGGGCAAATTATTGAATGATGCAGAATGCATCAAGAAAAGATGGAAGGAGTACACAGAGTCATTGTACCAAAAGGAAATGGTTAATGTTCAACCATTTCAAGAGATACCATATAAACAAGAGCCAATGATACTCAGAGAGGAAGTCCAAAGTGCATTGAAAGAAGTGGCAAAGAACAAGGCACCAGGAATTGATGGAATAAAAATTGAAATCTTTCAGGAAAGTGAGGCAGCACAGGAGGCACTCACTCATCTTTGCCAAGAAATTTGGAAGACAGCTGTCTGGCCAACTGATTGGAAGAGATCAATGTTTGTGCGCATTCCTAAGAGAGGTGACCCAACGGAATGCGGAAATCATCGGACAATCTCTTTGATATCTCAAGCGAGCAAAGTTTTGCTAAAGGTAATACAGAAACGGCTGGAATCATACATTGACAGAGAACTTCCAGAGGTTCAAGCTGGATTCAGAAGAGGCCGTGGAATGAGAGATATCATTGCTGATGTCCGATGGATCTTGGCTGAAAGCAGAGAATATCAGAAGGATGTTTACCTGTGCTTTATTGACTACGCAAAGGCTTTTGATTGTGTGGATCATGACAAGCTATGGACAACATTGAGAAGTATGAGTATTCCAGAACACTTAATTGTACTTCTAAGAAATCTGTACCTAGACCAAGAAGCAGTTGTTCGAACAGAACATGGGAACACTGAATGTTTTAAAATTGGGAAAGGTGTGAGACAGGGTTGTATTCTTTCACCATACTTATTCAACCTGTATGCTGAGCAAATAATACGAGAAGCTGGGTTCTATGAAGAAAAACATGGCATCAGGATTGGAGGAAGACTCATTAACAGCCTACTATATGCAGATGATACAACCTTGATCGCTGAAAGTGAAGAGGACTTGAAACATTTACTTATGAAGATTAAAGAGCACAACCTTCGGTATGGATTACATCTCAATGTCAAGAAAACAAAAATCCTCACCACTGGACCAATAAACAACATTATCAATGGAGAAAAGATTGAAGTTGTCAAGGACTTCATTCTTCTTGGATCAACTATCAACACTCGCGGAAGTAGCAGTCAAGAGAGCAGACGACGTATTGCACTGGGCAAATCTGCTGCACAGGAACTTTTTAAAGTGTTGAAGAGCAGAGATGTCAGCTTGAGGACTAGGGTGCGCCTGATCCAGGCCATTGTGTTTTCAATAGCCTCATATGGATGTGAAAGCTGGACAGTGAATAAGGAGGATCGTAGAAGAATTGATGCCTTTGAGTTGTGGCATTGGAGGAGAATACTGAAAGTGCCATGGACTGCCAAAAGAACCAATAAATCTGTTTTGGAAGAAGTGCAGCCAGAGTGCTCCTTGGAGGCCAGGATGGCTAAGCTTCGTCTCTCCTACTTTGGACATATTGTCCGGAGGAAAAAATCGCTGGAGAAGGATGTCATGCTGGGTGGGGTGGAGGGTCAGAGAAAAAGAGGAAGACCCCCAACGAGATGGATCAGCCAGGTGGCATCATTGATGGACTCAAGTGTGGCAGCGGTAGTGAGGTTGGCCCAGGATCGAACATTGTTTCGTTCTGCTGTGCATGGGGTCGCTATGAGTCGGTTCCGACTCGATGGCACCTGACAACAACAACAACAAACCAGATGCTTACTAATTCAACAAGTGTAGAGGCCATGTTTAGAGGAGTCCTGGTGTGGTACTTCAGGATAATACACTGACTGAATCAGAAGGTCAGTTTGAATCACAAGATTAGCGGTTCAAACTTAACTAGCCACTCCTCAGAAATCCTATAAGTGTTCCCTATGAATGAAACCAAGTCAACCTACCTTAACTACAGCAATAAGAGGCCATTTTAGATCTGAGTGTCCTGTGACTAGAATACCATTATCCTAAGAAGCAACTGTATTGATTCAAGAGAAGATAACCAATTTATTAATTCAAATCTGTGAGCTGCCTTAATTATTGTTATTTAAAATATCATCTGTATTCTAGAAGGTATTTTCATTTACTTTTTGTTTAAGAATTCTACCATTATCTTGAAATTGTATATTACTCTTTTGAGTAAGAAAATACTACATTTCATTTGGAAAAATAAGACTTGTCTTACTCATTTGTTGTTATAAACAAATAAAATTCGGAATAATTTTTCTTATCCCTTTGAGAAAAATTGAATTGTAAGCTCTTTACCAAACAAACAAACAAAAAAAAAAAAATAGAATTTACAGCATTTTTAATGTGTACTTATTTTTGCTGGGTTGTTTCATTATATTTTTCTTATATAGTCATTTAAATCACATAAAAGTCTGTCTGAAATGACATTTTCATGATGAATCTGGGAACCATCACTTTGATTGTATGATATTTATTGCTGATATATGTCTGCTGGTGTTTTTTGCTTTCCATCATACATAAATTCTAGTGGCATATTGAATACCATAGAGAGGAGCTGACAAAGTAAATCAAATAGTTTATAGCATAGTATTAGGAATATCAGATTCATTTCTATAATTTTTATTAGTATTTCCAGAATCTTCTAGTACTGTAGCTTATTTATTATGTCTTAATATTCTTTAATACTTATAAACTGATTGAAAATTGGGTTCATTTTAACAATGTATAATATATATTGTGATGAATCTTTCCACATAAAAAAGAAGTGGCAAATATCCAACACTTTGATTGGAACTCATGAAATCCAACAGCTTGTATTTAATGATCAAGTGTTAATTATATAGTGAACTGGGTAGTTAATTCTGCATCATAGGAACTATATATTAGAATGAAGCTATTATGATGTATAAGGTGGCAAAGGAAAATGGGCTAACAAGGCCCTTATATGTACTTAAGATGTCAAATGAGCAATTTCAACTCACAATCTTTTTTTTTTTTAACTGAGAATACATAAATTGGGTTTTGATTTTTTAGTTCCACCTCTTCCTTTCGGAGTTAAATGATGGAAAATGACTTTCAATCCCCAGACTGCTCTGATGCATCATTCACACTAGCCTTGACAAGCTAGCCCCTCTGGTAGCAGTGAGATTTATGGTTTTCCATTCCTTGGTGTTCCATTACTCTGTCTACACCATCAAATTGATTAGTAGGCAGTGAAGAGCAAGGAAAGAAAGGTGGTTGCTTCGAGTCAGCTGGTTTCCATCATTTTAATGAACTGCTTAGAGATGGTTAATATTGTCCTTAATTATCATTGCAACTGATGACGACCAGATCTTATTAAATGTTTTTCCCCCTTCCTTATTCTTTTTTTACAGGGCCCACTGGAAAATGATTTGGTAGTTCATGTAGCAGTTGTAGCAGAAAGTCAACGGTATGGAATCCAGATGGGTAGTATGTACTTTAGTGGGGAGGAGATAAGAAAAGCCTACTTTAGTCTTGTGTATGGTAAAACCAAAACCAATCTCATGGCTGTCAAGCTGATTCCAACTCATAACAATAGTACGGGACAGAGCAGAACTGCCCCATAGGGTTTCCAAGGCTGTAAATCTTTACAGAAACAGATTGCCATATCTTTCTTCCACCAAGAGCTGGTGGGTTCAGCTACTGACCTCTTGGTTAGTAGACAAGCACTTTAACCATTGCTCCACCAGAGCCAATTCAAAACCAAATCCACTTCTATAAAGTTGATTCTAACTTATAGTGACCCTATATAGGATTTCCAAGGCAATAACTACAGGAAAACTGGTGGATTTGAACTGCTGACTTTGTAATTATTGGCCCAATGCTTAACCCACAGTGCTACCAGGGCAATAGGGTTTAACTTCATAGACCCTTGATGGAGTTCTAGGGATGTTGTTAGTGTGATTTTAAATGGCAGCCAACATCTTTCAGTAAAAATCATTTTGTTTCATTTTTACATGACTCACTCTGGTAGCGTAGTGGTTACGAATCGGGCTGCGAACCTTAAGGTCAGTGGTTCGAAACTACCAGCTGCTCCGCGGGAGAAAGATGAGGCTTTCTACTCCCGTAAAGATTTACACCCTCGGAAACCCTATACAGGGTCGCTATGGGTCGGAACCGACTCGATGGCACATAACAACAACAACAACTTAAAAGACTACAGCAATGCCAGCGTTACCTAGGGTATTCAGAAATTAGTGCAAAGAGGTTACTGAAATTCCCAACATCAGTACTTCGTTTTCCTAGCATTCCCCTCATGCCAAAGCACTTGTGTAACATGTTTTGTGGAGAATCAAGAAGGCGTATCGATTCTAATGGAGATGGCACATTGCTGGCAGTAAGAAACTAATAGTGTGCTCCAAGTTATGCATAGAGTATTCCTTTTATCCTCACCTGTCATCACTTCCTAAATTATAAATGCTTTGTCTACAAATGCCTCTTTCTTTTTTTCCCTCTAGCCTTCAAGTTTTTCTCAACACATATGGTATTCAAACACAAACGCCTCAACAGGTAGAACCCATTCAAATTTGGCCACAACAGGAGCTTGTGAAAGTAAGTAATTCTTCCTTTTTGTTTTCTACTTTGGGGAGGTGCTAGAGCATAATGACTGGACTTAGTCTAAAGGCAAGTCACATAGTTAAATCAGTCTGAGATGAAATCATTCACCTGAAAGTCTTTCTAATTAAATTGAGAAGTCACTTTGTGGGGCACTGCTGCTAAAAAAAAAAAACATTGCATTGGTTATGTGTCTGATCATTATATTCATTTGCTAGTTATGAATAGATCTTGTTGATTCCTATTACCTGTTTAAGTTTTAATAATCTAAACTGAGCACTTAAATATCAAATTAGCTTTGATTTAATACAATTATCATCTTTTTTTCTTTTAAAGCTTTTAAGACCCTAGTTGTTACTCACCAGAATAGTATGTAGAACATTGTTTTTGTGAACTATGTTATACATATTGATCCTGGGGTCACCCACAACTGTGGTCCTGAGCCCCAGGCCCAATGACTCTTCTCCTCAAGATGGTTGATTATAGTTAAGACATTTTCATTAAGTTAGCCCCTGTATATGCTCTAATATCCTTGGATATATTTCCTGCACATACAAATACATATGTGAAAATATCCTTTGCCAAATCTATATATACTCATGGGTGTACTCCCATTCACCTTCCCATATCTGTTCAGCCTGCATGTTTACGTATGTATCTACTCATTAATGTTGTTTGTTTTAACTGTTGCTGCAGGGTTATGTATATTTACCTTTGTTGTTTCTTACATTTGTATCTTTTATTTATTTATTTATTGCTCTTGCTTTTGTTTTATTTACTTCTTAATAGACTTTCTACTTTGGAGCAGTTTGGGGTTTACAGAAAAAAATTGAATGAATAATACAGGGAGTACCCTTCTGCACACGGTTTCTCCTATGACTGACATCTTGCATTTATGTGGTACAATGGATTAACCCATATGGGTCAATCATTAACTGTACCCCACAGTTTACACTTTTTGTTTAAGTGTTTTATTGTGAATTATATGATAGTTTACATGGGAGAACATTAGTTTTACATTCATTCTATTGTACATCGTATCATTGCCATGGTTATATTCCCCTCCATGAATCATCAACCAACCAAAGGGTATACCCTGCAAGCCTGT